ACCGTATCCTATTGGGATACCTATGATTTTGAGTTATCACTGACATATTCCTAATGCTGTTGTTTTAAAAATATTGCTCGGTTTGCTAATAATGGCTCAGGTGTTCTCTGTTTTTATTGAAAGTTTAATTTTTAACAATATTATTAAATGACTAATGAAACAGGAAGTGTGGAAAATAAGAGAGAGAAAAAACTCTGTAAAGCCCAGTGCCCTAACTAATATCCATTTGACATTCACTTTCAGTGTTGTTTTCATAATTATAATGTAGTTTCCCAATTTTTTATACAACCAGATCTTATAAGCATTTTTAATATCACAGCCAAATCTCATAAAAGGAAATTTTCATTTTTACTGCAGTAAAACATAATAATCTAGAAAGTCAAATAATTTTCCAAGGCTTTGGTTCCATTCCTTCCTGCCCCTAGTTTCTACTCCCCGAAGGCAACCACTTTTCTCTTTCATCCATTTCTTCAGCTATTTACCTTAAGATTTCCAAATAACATGTTTTTATTGCTGCTGATTGTTTTTTATCCATTAATGTCATTCCTACCACACCACCTGAATTCTCCCAGTGTCATTATAAGGAATTTTGCTCAAATGGTTGTTCAGTGTTAATATTATTATCACTTTGTATATAATCCCAGCTAGGCCACATATATATTGTAATTAGATTTCCTTTCATGCATGGATTTTGGCTTCTCCGAAGTTAATAATTACTGTATTTCTTGTTTTGTGTCTACTATTAATTCATCTCCAAACTCTTCTACAAAAGTGAAAAATCTAAAATCTCAATTTTTCCAACATATCAGGTAATCTAGCCATTTGATTTTTTTTTTTTTTGCTGGAAATTTCCTTTTGTATTCTAATCTGAACTGATTGCTTGCTAGTCTCTCATCCTGGTTTTTTCCTTCACCATCATCTTGGGACTTATATTGACTTCTCTCCAGAGTTGGATCCCCTGCTTTCTGGCTTCAGTAACTTCTTTCGTAGTGTATTTCCTTTTTATGATGGAGCACATCTTCCAGTAGCTTAGTGAGAGAGAGTATGTGAGAGATAAACATTTTTTGATGCCCTGTCTGTAAATATCTTTATTCTCTCCTAATACTTGATTGCTAATTTGGTTGGATGTAAAATTTTAAAATCTTCTAGCTTTGAATGTTATTGTTGAGAGTAACATCTGGTCTAATGCTACGTTGATTTCTGACCTTTTGTGCCTGATCTCTTTTTCTCTCTGGAAGCATTTAAGATGCTTGATGTTCTAAAGTTTCATAAGGATATGCCTGGTGGAGGCCTTCTTTTCTTCATTGAGTTGAGTACGTGAAGGCCCTTTTACTCTGTGGACTCATTTTCTTCAGATTCTGGGCAATTTTCCTGCATCCCATTTCTTTCTTTACTCCATTTCTTTGGTTCTCTTTTTCTGAAGTATGTATTGTTTGGATATTGGCCTTCCTATCCTGATCCTCTTAACTTTTTCATCCCATTTTCTGTTTTTCATCTCCACTTTCTGGGAGATTTCTTCAAGTTTATTTTCCAACTTCTGTAGTATAATTTTTACTTCTGTCACATTTATAATTTCCCTAAGTCTCTTTTTTATAGCATCTTCTTTTCATGGATGTAGGCTTATTCGTTTTAGTTATTTTGAGCAGTTTTTTCCCCTTGCATTGTCTCTGCTGCTTCTTAGTCAAATGTTGCTTTTAATATTTGTTTTATTTTCCTTCAAGTTATTAGTTTTCCTTGTGTAATCTTTGGTCAGTATTTCAAGAATGAGGCACAAAGAACTCATTGGAGCTTTAATGGGAAGGTGAGGCTTGGAGCTTCCTTAGGTATGAGATTGATGATCATAAAGGAACTCAGCTATATCGTTAGAGTCCCTGATTGATCGGTGTCTATAATTCTTTTCTTTTAGGCCGCTTAGCTTCCCCAAGAGGTTATCTCCAGTCTTTAGCCTGAGGAGTGTAAGCCTGATTGCCAATATTCTCACAATAGAGTGGGGAAGGTAACTGAGGTTTTCCCTTGTTGTAACATGTAGGCTTTTACTCACTTCACCTGTTTTTATTAGCCTCCTTCATCTCCCACAGCTCTGTCTGGTGTCCTCAAGTCTAGAGTCCTTCTGGTTCACACAGAAAGACCCAACCTAGTCTATGGCCACGGTGGGGAGAGGTAGTGGCCTAATACTGGGTTATGTCAGGGATCTGGGAGTCCTTAAATGTAGGCTTTTAACTAATTCTCCTGCTTCAGCTCCATGTGCACTCCCATCTTCAAGGTCATCGAGCACTTTTCATTCCTGACCTTTCTGGGACTCTACACAGCAAAATGGCTAGATTTTTGGCTTTTTCTCCTTTATCCCCTACCCAGTGCTGTGGCTTTCAGCTTTCACAGGTCACATCGATCTACTTTGCAGCTTCTAAAATGTTTTGAACTCCAGCTGTGCTATTGTCCTCTCTCCAGTTCATTTTGTCTTTGCTGGTTTTTTTTTTTTTTCAATCCCCTTACTTCTCAGTTTGGTGAGATTTCAAGAGAGAGTGAAGGTAAATTGTTGTGTTTCATTTGTCTTGTTCAACCAGAAGTCTGCGTGATCTTTGCTATTTTAATTTTTAATGATTGTATATTTCATCTATTTATCATACTTCATTCATTTACCTGTTTTTTGAAATATAGGTGACTTCCAATGTATTGCTATTGCAATCCTGGAAAAAAAAATCTTTCATGCTGATAGGTTTTTTGTTTTTTTTTTTAAAGATTTTATTTATTTATTTGACAGAGAGAGACACAGTGAGAGAGCGAACATAAACAGGGGGAGTGGGAGGGGGAGAAGCAGGCTTCCCGTGGAGCAGGGAGCCTGAAGCGGGGCTTGATCCCAGGACCCTGGGATCATGACCTGAGCCGAAGGCAGACGCTCAACGACTGAGCCACCCAGGCGCCCCCGAGGTTTTTTTTTTTCATGTTAGGTTATTTCCTTAGAATAAGAATAAGGCAGATGTGTTTAAACATATCTTTACCGGGGCACCTGGGTGGCTCAATCGTTGGGCGTCTGCCTTTGGCTCAGGTCATGGTTCCAGGGTCCTGGGATCAAGCCCTGCATCGGGCTTCCTGCTCCGCGGGGAGCCTGCTTCTCCCTCTCCCACTCCCCCACTTGTGTTCCCTCTCACGCTGTGTCTCTCTCTGTCAAAATAAATAAATAAAATCTTAAAAAAAAAAATAAAAATAAACATATCTTTACCAATTTTGAGTACCATCAGGGTATGTGATTATCCAGTTTACTGTATCCTTGCTTATTTCACCATATAAAAGTTCTTTTTTGACAGGCTAGAAAGAAAGGTACCTTTTATATACTGATTTTTAACTATCCTTCAACAGAATTGAAATAAGTGCTTATTCTAGGGGTGCCTGGGTGGCTCAGTTGTTAAGCATCTGCCTTTGGCTCAGGTCATGATCCCAGGGTCCTGGGATCGAGCCCCACATCGGGCTCCCTCCTCAGTGGGAAGCCTGCTTCTCCCTCTCCCATTCCCCCTGCTTGTGTTCCCTCTCTTGCTGTGTCTCTCTCTGTGAAATAAATAAATAAAATCGTAAAAAAAGAAAAAGAAATAAGTGCTTATTCTAAAGCAATATATTCTACTTTGCTTAAATTTTTATTTTGAGCATTTATTCTTTTGTAATTTTTGGAAAAAACCAATAAAACTAATACATATTATTTTTTAATTGGAAAATAACAATATAAGGAAGAAGACAATTCATTGCAATAATACCATTACCCAGAGGTAACATTTTGATAAGAGTATACATGTGTGAGAGAAAAACATGAATATATATATATATGTATATATGGCATACATATTCACTCTCTTTTAAAAAATTAGAATCAAATATATGTAGTATGGGTTTTCTTCATTTATCATTACTTTGTGAACATTTTTCATGTCTTTAATTATTCTGAAACATCTTTATTGTTTTCTAGCATACTATATGTATATATCATTAAGAACATTCTTTAATCTTGGAGATTATAGCATGTAATACTGTGAAATTATAACTGACAATTTATGTAAGAACACTCTGAATGTTCAGCTTTTTTTAATAAGAATTAGAAAAATTTAAAAGCTATACCTGTCCTTTTGTGGTATATTGTGCCTTACATCCGTATCTTAAAGAGTTAACTTGGTAATAATTCTTGTTCTCCCATTTATTTCTGACTGATAATATGATATTCTCTCTAACGTAATAAAGTGCCGTGGGTTATATTTTGTCTTATGTATGACATCATGGTGGGTTTTTTTGTTTGTTTGTTTTTAATTTTTTTTAATGCCAATGTTGTGCTTTTTAGTTTATGAGCTCCTTTTAGGCAGTTTAGAGTCTGTTTTCATTTTTTATGAATATTACCTTGCCATAGAGTATCTAGGCGAGATTGTACTATTAAAGTGCTTTCAATACTGATGTGACAGGAATTTTAACTCAAATCTGCTTCTACATAAACTGGAAAAACTTAGAGAAATATGTTATACTTAGTATAAATGAGATCTAGAACTCGGTATTCTCAACACATACACACACGTGTTTGTGCATTTTTAAAAAATATTACTTCTTGAGTACATTCTCATGATTCAAAATGCAAAATAATGTAAAAAGGTATACATTGGGAAATCTGGGTCCTATCTCATCCTTGTCCATTCCATTCATCACCCCTTCCCCATATGGGAAATTACTTTTCATAGTATTCTTTAGTATATCCTTATGTGAATACAAGCAAAAAAATGTATGTGTGTTTTTATTTTTCCCCTCTTTCTTACTCAAAAGATAATATATACAGTGTTCTACACCTTGTTATGTTTACTTAATTATCTTGGAAATCTTTTTTAGTGGTACATAGAGAACTTGCTCATTTTTTTTTTCCTAACAGTTCTTTAATATCCAGTTATGTAAATGGTTTATTTAACCATTCCCCATAGACAAACTCTTGGCTAACCAATGTATTTTTTTAATGTATGTTTTTTAAACTTTTTCAGGTGGATATGGACAAGAGTGGTGAAATGCGACTTATAGAACTGGATGAATCTTTCAAAAGTGAACATACTGTTTTTGTAACACCACCTGAGATCCCCCATCTACCCAATGGTGAAGAACCCCCTTTACAGTACAGGTATTCAAGAGGCAGAATGTTTGAGATTGAAAGAGAGAAGCAATCCATCATCTGTGACGTAGCTTTCTAAGGACTGTGGTATTTTCAAAAATCCAAACTTTACAGATTCCTAATTTTTAGGTGGTAAGCAAGCTTATCCCACATCCATTATTAAGTTTTGAGGTATAAAGAGAAAAGAATTATAATTTTGCATAATATAGCCTTGGGAAGCTCTCTATATCTACATAAGTATCTGTTCTCATAAATGTTGGTTAAACTCAGTTAGGACCTCACCCACCAAAATGCAGCACTTTTATTATAGATTTTGATTTTTGTTTCTCACTAAAGCTAATCCTCTCACTTTCATCCCCTTTCCCACACACATACTGATTAATGTAACCTTGGTTTACAACAGGATTAAATCTAATTTAGAGTCAATATTTGTGGCCTTAATTTTGATAATATAATTTTTTAGGCTATTAATTTTTCTGTGAGTTTTTATTTAAGTCATGGAAATTCAGAACTATTGGGAATCAATCAGTTAACTTAGGAAATTTGGTCAGATGCTATGCTAAGTGCTTGGTATATAGACTTGAATGATACGTTGTTCCTGCTTTCAAGTCTAATGGGAAAAAGAGAAAGTTCTGAGCATAGTAAAATAAGGTTATCATAGAAGTAGACTTATTATACATCTGTGTATCTATCTAGATGTATATTATACACATACATTTGTTATCTACTAGAGGTAGTTTCCAGTATGCATTTATTTTTACTTAAAATGGCACTTCCTTTTAGATTTTAAATGATTTCTTTCTCCAGTAATACTTTCTTACTTTAAAGATTTTAAAACCATTTCACATCTGTCATTCATTAGGTCGCAGTTTATTTTCATTGAAAAAGGATTTTTCAGGACACCCTCATTTATAACTCGGGTTAAATTCTTCCTTTTACAGATGAAAAAGTGGTGCAACAGGTGTTTGTGAATGTTGTTGATTAATTCATAGGCCACTTGGTTCCTGCCCTTACTTTTCATCTATTAATGATGTTGCGCAGATCACTTTTTAAAATTCTGGCTTTTGTCAGAGGTGTTTAAAATCTCTTAATTTCTCTCTTTCTCGCTTCTTTTTCTTTCTAAACAAGATCTCATTTCTTTGATCTCTTTTGTACATTATACTTCTAAGATTTGTTTAGGAGCAGGTTTCACTAATACAGTTTTGTTTTTCTTTTTATGCTTTGGGTTTAACTTTTTTTTTTAATTTAAACTTTACTTTTAGATTTAGTCCTCTAATAAAAAAAATTACTTAGAAAGTTCCCATTTTTAAAAGAATCTAAGTCACTTTTTAAGTTGAGACTAACAATATAATTTTGGTGTAATCATACCCGTCATTGGAGACACAGCTTAAATGTCTTCAGTGTGCACAGTGGGTCCTCTTAGTGAGAGGTGACTCATATTCTTACATTGTCTTTGTGAAATGATAGGGTAGTAAGTTTCCATAAGGCACACAGAATGGTCTTATTATCACACCGTGTACATACAGTGAAATTTTTATGGGACGTAGTTTTCCTGAACTTCTTTGCTATTTTATTCCTTAACATTTAATATTTATTTTTTACCCTACTGAATTTGCCTGTAGTAATGTATAATAGATATAGTTTACCATCTTTTATCATAGCTGGTTTTCTTCTCAGTTAATTGAAACTATTGCTATGCCTTTAGGAAGATTATAAAGTAGGTTCTGTTTGATGCCCAGGGGCTTCTTCTGTTCTTTTCAGCATGTCTTTTTCCTAGCTGCAGCTACCTTTCACATTCCCAAACACCTTGCTCTAGCACCCCAATTAGACCCACTTCCTCATAGGGCCACTCATTCTAATCTTTTCTTCTTCTTCTCCAACCTCTTCAGTTTTCTTTCTCACAAATGAGAGCCAGAACCTGCTTAGCTAACCTGATAAACCAATTCATGATAATATCAGAGTTTGTCTTGGAATGTGCTAATACATTATTTGTATCTTTTGAAGAGGACGGTTCTATAGTAATATCTTAACCTAAAGCAATAATACTAATGACTGTCCTGTCTGAAAGAGTATTAATTTGGGGGCCCTTTACCAGCTGTCATATTATCTGATATGTTTGCTGTGTATTTACGTGAATACTAACTTACAAAGTTCACTTGATTTACTTTAGGGTTTGATGTCAAGTTCAGCAAAATTTTTTTTTTTAAAGATTTTTTTTATTTATTTATTTGAGACAGAGAGAATGAGAGAGAGAGAGCACATGAGAGGGGGGAGGGTCAGAGGCAGAAGCAGGCTCCCTGCCGAGCAGGGAGCCCGATGCGGGACTCGATCCCGGGACTCCAGGATCATGACCCGAGCCGAAGGCAGTCGCTTAACCAACTGAGCCACCCAGGCGCCCAAGTTCAGCAAAATTTAAATCTTTCACTTTTCTACCTCTAAAATATATACTTGAGTTTGTATTTGGCTATTAGATGTCTAAATATGATAGCAAGAAAGGCAACATTAGCACGAATATTTGTTGAGTATATATCATAGTCTGATGGAGAAAGATAATGAAAATAGACTCTAAGTTAAGGAGTTATTGGTCAGAATTTTTTTTAGATTATGACCAGTATGATCATCTATGTGTGCTTGAGATTTTTATTTTCTTTTCAAAAACAGCTATAATGGATTTCCAGTTCTTAGAAACAATTTATTTGAGAGACCTGAAGGATTTCTACAAACACGAAAGAACAAATTGCCTTCAAAATCAAGTAGTCCTAGCAGCCCTTCTCCCATGTTCAGAAGAACAAAACAGGTGCTTTGACGATTTTGCGTTTTTCATGTAATCAAGTATTAGAACAAAAATAAATATGACATTCATCCTCCCTTAATATATTTTACTATCCCATATGTATGACTAGATTATTATGCTCCTCAAAACATCCCAAAAATAATTTAGAGTAATGTGACTTCAAAAAATTAACTAATTTTCTTATCTTAGAACTTTATTTCACATATTTATAAGCCTCTGCTTGAATCTGTATTAATTATAGACAGATTTTGTTAGGGAAGTACTATAAAAACGTATGACTTATACTTGTTCAGCGTTCAGTTAAATAAGGATGCTTAAGTGTATCAGTTTATTAATGAGACCCTTGCATTTTTTTCCAGGAAATTAAATCAGCCCATAAAATTGCCAAGAGGTATTCTTCCATTCCTCAAATGTGGTCTAGGTGTCTCCTGCGCCACTGTTACGGACTGTGGTTTATTTGTCTGCCAGCTTATGTGAAAGTATGTCATTCAAAAGTCAGGGCACTGAAAACAGCATATGATGTGCTTAAAAAAATGCAGTCCAAAAAGATGGATCCACCTGATGAGGTAACAATTCTTTTTAAAAGTGCACTATTTTATTCTAGATCTATGTTCGTAGATACTTTGTTTCCGAACACTTCTGAACTGTGTGTTTCAGGTGTGCTACCGCATTCTTATGCAGCTCTGTGGGCAGTATGATCAGCCGGTGCTTGCGGTTCGAGTGCTTTTTGAAATGCAGAAAGCTGGTATTGACCCCAATGCCATCACTTATGGTTATTATAATAAGGTAATGACTTTGATTTAATGGGAGAACGAGTATAACTTTTGTGACTATACAACCTTAATATAATGGCAGAAATAATTGATTTGGGCTTTATTTGGCATTGGTTTTGGAGTATTAAAATATATTCTGGGGGCGCCTGGGTGGCTCAGTCGTTAAGCGTCTTGAGCAAAGTATATTATAAAATACAGAATTCAAGCTACTAAGCTATACAATGAGAGGCTACACAAATATATAAAAAAATAATCCTGGAGAATAGACTTTAAAAAATTCATTAGAAATACAGCTACAAGGGGCACCTGGGTGGCTCAGTCGTTAAGCGTCTGCCTTGGGCTCAGGTCATGGTCCCAGGGTCCTGGGATGAGCCCCACATCGGGCTCCCTGCTCAGCGGGAGGCCTGCTTCTCCCTCTCCCACTCCCTCTGCTTGTGTTCCCTTTCTCGCTATATCTCTCTCTATCAAATAAATAAATAAAATCTTTAAAAATATGTATATATATTCTGTAAATCAAGTAAGTTTTTTTGTTCTATTTTCCTGTTATACAATGTATTTAGATATTCTTTAGCTTTACTATAAAGCCAACGTGCATTCACTGATATATTTTATTTTACTAACTATTTTATTTTGTTGAATGAATAGGCTGTTTTGGAAAGTACCTGGCCTTCAAGAAGTCGTAGTGGCTATTTTCTTTGGACAAAAGTAAGAAACGTTGTTTTAGGAGTCGCACAGTTCAAAAGAGCTTTAAAGAAACATGCACACTTATCACAAACAACTCTCTCAGGTAATTAAAAGTTCTTAGGGGATGTATTTGTTTTACTTTGTTAAAAAAAAAATTAATTGACTAGTTATAATTTACATTTTTTAGAAATCTTAGTTTCAAAATATTTAATAATTTCTAGTTTTTACTGCCATTAAGCAAATTCTAATACTATTTTCCCATTTAAAAAATACCTTCAATCACTTTTTTTCTTTAACTGTTAAATTATCACCCTTTGGTGATCTTGTTTTAGTATCCATTAATAATTCACAATCATTACAGTTGTTATGGTTGTATTTTGCTAATTATGTGGCATGTTCGTGTTCAGTATGAGTGGATTATTAGCTTGAGCAACAAACTAATGTGTATTTGTGGTATCTGCCTGAGTAGTAAAATGCTGTCAAATTGTGTTCTTAAGCAGATGGCAGTGACCTGGATGCTGTTAGTCATGGCAGCATGGATAGTGGTCATGGGACACACACTGTGGAGCAGGCACCTTTTAATACGGGTTTAATCAAAGTGTATGCTACTGATGATAGATCTAGTACAGGTTTGTGTGTGCTTATGTATACATTTATTACAGTACATTTTAAAATTTAGATTTGCTGGCCTGTCTTTTTTAGATTTTAATTCTCAGTGCTGTATTTAGGTTAACTGTCACTTTTTAATTATATATGTTAGGCACTTGGTTTGATATTGTGTCTAATAACTATATGCCATTTTATTCTTTATTGGAATAGAAATAAAAGTTTAAGAGAGTTTATTCAAGGGCACCTGGGTGGTTCAATCGTTAAGCGTCTGCCTTCGGCTCAGGTCATGATCCCGGGGTCCCGGGATCGAGTCCCACATCGGGCTCCCTGCTCGGCGGGGAGCCTGCTTCTCCCTCTCCCGCTTTTCCTGCTTGTGTTCCTGCTCTCGGTATCTCTCTCTCTGTCAAATAAATAAAATCTTTAAAAAAAAAAAAAAAAAGAGTTTATTCAAATATTTAGTCCATGGTAACCCAGTTAACTCTGGATAGCCCACAGAACTCTGTATCATGTCACTTTCTTAGGGTAAATTCTTGTTTGTAATTATGAAAATGTTATTAGAGTTTTTTTTAAAAAAGAAACTTATAGCCCTTATCGGAGTTAATAGTACGTATAAACATCAACTTCCTGGTTTTAACAGTGTATTATGTTTCATGTAAGATAGTATCATTGAGGGAAGCTGGGTGAACAGTACACAGGAACTCTCTGTACTATATTATTTTTACAACTTCTTGTGAGTTTTAAACTATATTAAAATAAAAAGGTATAATAAACTTGCAAATACATATAAAACTTGCAGCATTCTAGCCCTGAAGATGCTATTAATTTTATTAAAATATCAGATTTGGACAAAAGTTTTCTCTAAGAATTAAAACTGACACACTTAATTTGTTGAATAATTCTGTCCTTTTCATTAGTACATTAAAAAAAGACACATGACCTTTTTTTTTTTTTTAGAGAGAGCGCTTAAGCGGTGGGGGGAGGGTGGGAGCGAAGGCAGAGGGAGAAGCCAACTCCCTGCTGAGCAGGGAGCCTGACTCAGGGCTCAATCCCAGGACCCAGAGATTATGACCTGAGCCGAAGGCAGACGCTTAACTGACTGAGCCACCCAGGCATCCCATGACTTTTGAACAGAGTATAAGGGCCACCTCTTAACAGACAGAAATTTTAAATTTAAAAATCCCAGCATTACTAATGAAATATGAAGGCTTCTGTCTCTGCAAATGGTAACATTATTTTGGTCTGTCTCCTCTTTTGCCTACTTTTAAGAGTAATAAGTGTAAACAAATTGTGTTGAAATGTAATTTTCATAGTTCTTTCTTGGCTCGTTTTATTTTTTGATCATGCAGTGTGAATTTAATCTGAGTTATAGTAGTCATCCTCAGGCATTCTCTCTTAAAAATGAAGCAATCAATTTTTTTAGTCTCATTTTTGTTCGTTATCTCTACACCCCATGTGGGGCTCGAAAAGATCAGGATTCACACACTCTTCGAACTAAGCCAGCCAGGTGCCCCTCTATCTTTTGTTTTTAACTATGGCCTTTTAAAAGTCTATTTTAAAGCATGCAGAATCTAATAAAAGCATGAATTTCATCAAGATTATCTTCATAATATTTTTAAATTTATATTTTCTGTGGAAACAGAGCCAAAAGTTTGATTAGAAAAAATACAAACTCAAAATTATAAGAGATATTAAATACCTAGTGATACTTAATACAGTTTCTTTACATAGTTCTTTACCAGTTTATAAAATCATTCCATATATAGTCTCTCTCATATAATCGTAACCATACTTTGTGTGTTATAAATCTGGGGACTTGAAGTCCAAACCAAAAGGTTAAATGGTTTGCTTAAAATCATGTCTCCTAAGATGAAGAACTAGGATTTAAAACCTTATGTTTTGATGCTAATCTAGTGAAAACAATTTGCAGAAAATTACAGAAGGCCTCTTGAACAGAATTAGAAGTTTCCTTATATCAGTGCAATGTTTGCCTTTCTCAACAGTAACACTAATTTTTTCTCACTCCCATGTATTTATACTTAAGTGCAATTCAATAATTATTCAATTAAATTTTCAGAGAAAGCAATTACCTATCAGTAAATTTAAATAAACCCATTTTCTTCAGTGGAATCATTTAGACATTTGGCTCCAGTGATCTATGTGTGAATGTTCTGTTCTGAATTCCCTGCAGATTTTTCTTCTGCATTGCTTAGTTGGAACTCTGACTTTCACCTAGAAAGGTCATAGGCTTGAAGAATGTCTGGTTTGTCTGTATCTTTAGGAGCCCAGACAGTAGTGTGAATGTACATAGTCACTTTTGACTGCAGTGTGGAGCCAAAGACAAATTATTTTGAGATCATCCCTTTCTTGCATTAATAGAGATGGGGGAGGAGGGCTAACAAAGTAATGCTTTCAACTGGATATTAACCAGAAAATTTCTCATAAGTAAACCTGGACACTAATATGTTGCTCATAATTCCAGTTGTTCTCACTAAAGAAGTTTTTGATAAACAGCATAGGGGTTTTGTTTCTTTTTTTTTTTTTTTTTTCTCTTTTTCATAGGTGGCCAGTCTGATCTTGGATATAATTCATTATCTAAGGATGAAGTTAGAAGAGGGGATATATCTACTGAGGAAATTCAAGAAGAAAAAGATAAGAAAGGGAGTGATTCTAGTTCCCGTAGGTATTACTTAAGTTGATAGTGTATAAATTTGTGAGCCTTTTTTGTCTTAAAGATTTATTTATTGGGGCACCTGCATGGCTCAGTTGGTTAGGCGACTGCCTTTGGCTCAGGTCATGATCCCAGAGTCCTGGGATCGAGTCTCGCATCGGGCTCCCGGCTCAGTGGGGAGCCTGCTTCTCCCTCTGACCCTCTCCCCTCTCATGTTGTTTCTCGCTCTCTCAAATAAATAAATAAATAAAATATTTTTTTAAAAAAGATTTATTTATTTATTTTGGAGAAAGAGAGAGAGCATGGGGAGGAAGGGTAGGGCAGAGGGAGAGGGAGAGAGAATCTTAAGCAGACTCCGCGCTGAGCGTGGAGCCTGACACAGGACTCCCAGCTCACAACCCTGAGATGAGCTGAAACCAAGAGCCAGTCACTCAACCGACTGTACCACCCAGGGGCCCCTGTGAACTTCTATTAACAGAAAATACGAGTGGCTTTTAAGTATAAAAGTGCTAATTTTATTTTCCACTTTCCCATTATAACTTGTCTTTCCTCCCATTACAGGCCCTCTTCACCACCTAATGCTCCAACACACCAAAACTTTATGTGTGAAGTGTATAGCCTCAGTGGCACAACACTCTCCGATCAATTACTCCTCTTCTTGTAGTAGAAATATATGTATTTCTTCAAAGAGTGACTCTTTTCTAAGGTTTAACAGTATTTTTATTTAATGTTTTTGTTAATGGTCTGTGACTCTATTCCCTCCCTTGCCTACCTCCATCAAAAGCAGTGTTTCACAACCAAAGAAGAAATACAAAATGTATGTATGGACCTCACGCATGACTTAGTAATTTGATACACACCTTAAAGCCTCAAATAAGTGGAATCATTTACTTGTGATCAGCAAATAGATATAGAGGTGTTTGGTATTTTCTTATCACCTATTATCAGTTAGAAATATTTATAACTAAAAGCTACTTCTCTTTATGCCTTCTATAATAGCTTAATAGCTAAGTAAATAAAAGCTAAATAGCTTCTATGTAGCTTTTATCTTAACAATTTCATTTTAATCTTTACAGTGTCAGAGAGTGAGAGTGCAAAAGGAAGTGCTGATTGTCTGCCTAAGCTCAATTATCAAAGTTCTTCCAGTATAGTTCGCCCCAGTGGTACAAATAACAATGATGCTGATAAAATATCAGGAGAAAGCACAGGTGAGTTGAATCGTGTACCTCTTTTATGTGCAGAATATCTTGTAGCTGTATTTCTTTTTTTAAAAGATTTTATTTATTTATTTGACAGAGAGAGACACAGCGAGAGAGGGAACACAAGCAGGGGGAGTGGGAGAGGGAGAAGCAGGCC